CCTTCAACAATTGAAATATGGATTCATACATGGTCAAGCACGATTCTTCATCAATCAAGACAACTTTTGAAATATTCATCCATGGAAAAGGTTTTGACCAACAAAGGATTGAGGAGATCTCCAATTGCAAGCATTTCTCTCCTATCATTCACAATTGCCAAGTCTAGGGGCAAGATTAGAAGGACAAGAACCAAGAGCAACCTCGAAGATCAAAAGCTCAAGCACATCACACTTCATGTTGCTCCAACACTCAAGGGATTCATCAAGGAAAAGAATGGAACTCCTCATTAAATAATTGTACTTTGAAAGATCTAGGAGTTAGATTTTACTAGGGACTTGAATGCTACCATGTTGATGTACTTAGTGTGATGTACTAGGCTTTTACTTTGTAATGAATGACCATCTTCGTAATGCATGTTGAACTGCTTGTAAGTGTCTTTTCTATAGCCCTTGGAGTCTATGGAAATCTCAAGGCGTTCAAAGATATTCTGCTTCATCTGAGGCTCCTTAAGGATTGGAAATTGACAATGTGTGAATCCACATAGCAATTGTTGAAGCACTAAATCATGCAAAATTATGGGATGACTTCTAACATTATTCTGACTTTGTTTGTTTTTCTTTTACTTTTTGTTTGCAGGTAGGTTTCATAAACTACTTCAAGAACAAAAACAAAAAAATCAGGCATGATAGTCTCCCCATGTTTTCTCACTTTTTGGAGCAATGCATCATCCATCTAGAAGGCAACCTTCAACATACTCTTATAAGCTCACCAAGATATGATGTTGAAGTGGACTTACACACGAGACATGTGGATATAGGTTCAATGAATGAGGGGCAAATCTAGGACATGGGGAAATTCAAGTATTATTGCTCCTAAGGATGAACCCCTATTTGACCTGATCATTACTTCTACCTTGGGGGCACTTTGGCCAATTGGACAGTCAAGCTTTTCTCTGCTTCATTCATCCATGAGTGGGATGAGTCAGCTTTCTAGTAGCTCAGCTTGTGGCTACATGAAAGGAGGGAATAACAAGCTCTTTTATATTATCTGAAATATTTGCTATCATGCTAATTAGTTTTCCAATCTTTACAATTCAGTCTCACATGTTGCCATATCACCATCCATTAAACCTGATGCAACTCTTCTTGTTAATCATTGTCCAAACCATCATTCACCATTGAGACATCATTTGATGCCATTAATATGCTCAAAAAAAAAAAACAAAAACAAAAAAAAAGAACAAAAAAAATTTACTTGCATATATATGCTTTCCTCACATGCTATTGCTTATCCATGTTTCTTTTTGCTTTCAGGCTTTGCTAATGATGAATCTGAACACAATGATGCCATTTCAGGATTGGTATATGTTCCAAATGATCCAAATCCATGTCAAGGAAGATGATGGTGATCTTGATTCTTCCCACAAACTAATTGATATGTTGCAAAATAGAGGCCAAAGTTGCAGTCAAATGTGATAGACTCATATAGAAGAAAAGAAAAAGATAAAGAGAGAGAGAATAAGGAAATCTTGCTAACTTAAGTTGAATGATTGTCATCATTTTGAGGTCTAAAGTGAAAAGCTCAAGGATCAAAGGCCATCTTTCATGAGCCTAATTTCCAAACACTTTACCCAAAAGAGCCATCCTTTAGTCAACCAAGTTGAGCCTAAAAAAGGAAAGTGAGCCTTTTCTTT